GAGTTGCACCCCCAGCCCTGAGAAAGAAGCAGTTGTGATGGGGAAAGAGAGCCAAGTGCAGAGACAAGCCAGAGGAGGCCTCTGGGTGCCCAGAGGGTGGGAGGGTAGGTGTGCTCTGTGGGCAGAAGGAGGGCTTGCAACCTTGAATCAAGTTTAAGAGAGCAGGGACCGGTATCATGGGAAAGTGAGAAGTGTCCCAGGTGTGCCTCCTCCCTACTCCCCGGAAATCAGGCAGCCAGGTGCCTGCCAGGTTGCGATGCACTCTGGGCAGCTGCTCTGTCTCTTTGACAGACAGGTGCAGTATCATCACTCGTCTGCACCTGTGAGCTCTCAGCTGCCCACACCCTGACTTGGCACTTGTTCTACAGGGAGTGTGCCAGGGAGGCCCCTCCTTGGAGTCAAGCTCTTTCCAATGAGCCGTTGTCTGGGGCCTCCTGGCTACACTGCCCTCCCCTGTGTTCCTCCAGCTCCTTCAACTCCCAGTTCAGCACCTGCTAGCTTGGGTCTGTCCCCTAATCGCACTGTCCTTACAGGTCCTTGATAACAGCAAGTAGGTCAGTCACATCCTCACATCTGTTAGGAGGTCAGAGCTGGAAGGAGCCTCAGCCCTCATCCACTACAACCCTGTGTGCCAGGCTCCCAGTACCAACAGAGGGAAAATGACTTGCCCAAAGTAACCCAGAAAATCAGAGACAAGGCAGGGCCCAGAGCCTGCACCTCCTGAGGAGTAGCCCAGAACTCTTTCTACCTCCCCACATCTTGGCTCTTTATGTCACCCCCCCTGCCCCCGTCCCCAACCAGGTCTCATCTATATGGGGACCTGACATGCCAAAGGTGAATCTCCTGTGCTTAGGATCCAGGGGTGGGTGGAACTTGCTTAGAGGCCAGTGTTAAGTTTCAGCCAAGGCCTGGAGCTCCTGGCCTCTCCCTGGGTCTGGGGAGGCTTTCTCTCACCCTCCTTTGATGTAGTCCAGGAAGGTGCACTCTGACTCTACTGCAAAGGAAAGCAGGGTGACCTGGGAAAGAAAGGGAGGGTGTTCAGTGAGGAGTCCAAGGGACAGATCTGACACCACAGCTGACGTGGAGAGCACTGAGCAGGTGCCAGATCCCTGTATCAGTACATGCCTTGCCTGTGACAACCCCACCAAGACTGTCATCCTCATGGTACAGCTGAGGAAATAGAGGTTCCAAGAATGCTGCCTGGATGTGGTTCAGTGGGGATCTGAACCCTCTCTGTCTGAATCCAGAACCTCTATTCTTTTTATACTGAGATGGGGGGGTCTCATGTAGCCCAGGCTACCCTCAAACTCACTATGTAACTGAGGATGACCTCAAACTCAAGATCTTCCTGTCTCTACCTCCCGAGTGTTAGGTGATTACAGGCATTAGAACTGGCATTTTTAATCTTTAAAAAAATTGTTTTTGAGGGGTTGGGGATTTAGCTCAGCACAAGGCCCTGAATTCGGTCCTCAGCTCTGAAAAAGAAAAAAAAATTGTTTTTGATTGATTTATTTTATGTGCATGAATGTTTTGTCTGCATGTGTATAAGTGCACAAGGTGCATGGCCCAGAGACACCAGAAGAGGGCATTAGATTCCCTGGAACTGGATTTTTTTTTTTTTGAGACGGTATCCCTGTAGCCTCCAGCTAGCTTGGAACTCATTATGTGGAACAGGCTGGCCTCAATCTCACAGGGATCTACCTGCTTCTGCTCAGCCCTGGCACTTTAAATCTTGATGCCAAACTCATCCAAAGGGACCCACTTGCCCCTGAAGCCAAGGACATGAGTATCTTCCAGGTGGGTGTTGCTTTCCTGCCCCAGGGCCCTGGTGTGGGATGTAGAGGACTGGAGGAGTTGTCTTCCTGACACAGGCCTAACCACCTGTCAAGGCAGACACACTGCACTTCCCTGCCACTGCTCATCCTGACTCCTATCTCTGAGCTGCTGTCTTTTCAGGCCTTGCCTATCATGTGCCCTCCTGGTGTGTCTTTCAGCCTCCAACCCCTCAGCCCCAGAACCCTCTGAATAGTCTGTTCTTTCCCTCAGAAGTGTCTGATATCTGAGAGACCCTCCTAGCTGAAGCCTCCACTTCCTACCCTATCTCCCCAGGGAGTCTGTCATGGGAATCATTTGGGGTCATGAAGAGGGAGGATAGCTGGGTACCTGAAAGGAGGAGGCTCCTGCCTTTATCACCTTCCTAATTTGGCCCAGTCAGCCAGGTTAAGTCACAAAGACCATGCACCAGCAGCCTAAAGAACCGAACAGTGGAAGGTCCATGTGCTTTGGGTCCCAGAGACCCCTACCCAGAGCAGTGTATGAGGCACCCAAAGAGTTCCCCCAAGGCTCCACCCCAGGAGTGGCAGCTCAGTGGCAACCAATGGCTATGGCCTATGCCCTGTGCTCCAGTGGCCAGTGGGATCTTCTGGATGAGTTTGAAAGCAGAGCTTCAGGGAACTTAACTTAGCTCCTCCTGTGAGTGTCCCCCGCAGCCAGGGATGGCCCCACCCATCCCCAGGCCCTTGGATGGTGATTCTCTCACGTGTACCTACCTCACGAGTTCACCCAGGACTTTCACCATGGGATCCTTGTGGGCCAGACACATGGAAATGGGTCACATTTACCCAGGATTTTCAACATGGGATCCATGTGGGCCAGACACACGGAAATGGGTCGTGTTTACCCAGGATTTTCAACATGAGATCCATATGGGTCAGAGACACACAAATGTAGGTTCTTAGCATTTAGCAAGAATCCCAGGAGAGCCTGTGGTGGTGAACCATGAAGATTCCTGGGCCCCAGATGAACTTCTTAAAACAGCCCCAGGGCACTGGATCCTGGGGTGTTTTATTGTTTGGTTTGTCTGGCCTTGAACTCATTATGTAGCTGAAGCTGGCCTGATCTTTCTGTGCTGGAGGGAGGAAGGAGATACTTTACAAATGGGGTCAAAGGAGAATGGGGCTCCTCTAGAGCTCTTTAAGAGCTCTCCTGAGCCTAGCCAAGAAGATGGGGCCATGGGCCTTTAAAATGGGAGCGGGTGGGTACATTTACACTGCAAAGGTACTGACATTCTAGAACTGTACTGTGGGTACCATCTCAGGGCCTTTGGTGCTCTCCAGGGCTGAGGCCCTTCTCAATAGTCTGCTCTATTCTAATCCCTTTTCCCCACATCACTTATAACCACTTGACACGTGTGTATACACATATACGAGTGAATTCGTCCTGTCTCCCCAACAACACCACAAGCACTAGGAACTTGGGTCTGCTACTTCCTGGCTGTGTCCCTTGGGCTTACAACACTGCCCAGCGCCCAATATATATTTGCTGAATAAATGCAGTGATGTCCTGTTGATCGCCCCTCCCCAAGAAATAGAGGCGTAGTATGTCACCCCTGGGTGGTCACAGTTAAGCAGGGGCAGTGTCTGCTCCTGCCAGCTCAGGAGTGAAAGGCAGTGCTGACTCCTATTTGCAGCTTTCTAGCTGTGTAACCTTGGCTGAGTCATTTCCCGGCCTGCAGACTTGGCTCCTCTTCATGACAGCAGATGAAGCCCATACCTGGGGATTCCCCACAAACACACCCCACTTTGCCTCTTCCTTCCTGCAAGGAGTCCTCGGCCACCACCCACCCAGGTTGGACCCACACTGTGCGCATGCACACACTCATAGGGCCTGGACACTCCCTGACCCCAGCCTGGTTTGAGGCTTAGGTGTGCCCCCACTCCCCTGCAGACAGGGGGCGTTACTCACTGTGCCAGAATTCACATATTTCTTTTTCTTCATTTTCTTTTTTGGGTTTATCACCTGTAGGGAAAAGCAGTTACTGTTTCAGAGCAGTCAGAGAAGGGCTCCTGGGGCTCCTGGGGACTAGCCCAGAAGGCTTCCGGGTGTGACCAAAGCTTCCTAGGATGCTGGTGGCCATGAGCTCTGGTAACCCTGTGTCCCAGGATCCAACACACTGGAACTGTTTCTTTAGCCTGTGTGTACCTAAGGTCACATGGTCATCAGGGTAGACACAGATTAAAAACCAGGTTTCCTGTCCCCAGCCAGTGGCACATGCACACTGGGGTGTCATCTTTATGAATGAGTGACAAGCTTAGGGAGAGAGGGGGACAGGTGGGAACTGGGGGCTGCCATAATGTTGAACTACCATTAACATCTCTCTAACAATAAAAAAGCCTTCTCTCTCTTTTTTTTTTTTTTTTTTTTGGTTTTTTGGAGACAGGGTCTCCCTGTAGCCCCTGCTAACCTGGAACTCACTATGTAGACCAGGCTGGCCTTGAACTCACAGAGATCCGCCTGCCTCTGCCTCCCTAGTGCTGGGACTAAAGACGTGCACCCTGCCCCCTGGAAGAAAAGCCTTCTTCCAACCCATCACCATTGGTTCCTGGCTACTGACTGCCAGGTACCCACAGATGACACAGGCACCCACAGACGACACAGGCACCCACAAACACAGGCACCCACAGACGACACAAGCACCCACAGACGACACAGGCACCCACAGACACAGGCATGGGAGAAAGCCACTGAGGACAAAGTTGCATCCCCAACATTACACTGTGCCTCATTTTCCGGATTGGGCACATGAGGGGGTCAAACACTTAGAACCAGAAATACTTTGGACATTTGCTCCACGGTTGCCCTTCAGCTAAGCAGCATGAACATGAACTGTTGGGGTTCAGGTGTAGATTATATTATTTGTTTTTTGTTTTGTTTCACTTTCTATTTTTGAGAGAAGGTCTCACTAAGTAGCCCAGGCTGGCCTCAAGCTTGTGATCCTCCTGTCTCAACCTCCTGAGTCACGCCGGGATCATAGGCATACACTACCATGTCTGGTTCCACACGTTTCTTTTTCTTTAAAGCCATCTTTGTTATCTTAAACCTGTCGTCACATTTCCGCACTCATGACTCTTTTTAACGTTAAAGCAATGGTTGGCATCAGATCTTTGAGCAAAGTGGGCAGTGAATCAGCAAGTATCTGCCCTGAGGTCTCCTGGGATTCCCAGAACTTTCCCCCATCACCACCTCACTAGCCCCAAGTGGCTACCAAGTTCCACACAGGGCCGCAGTGCCGCCTAGGGGCCACAAAAGGAACCTCCCCACTCCACTAGGCTACCTTTCCAATCTGTCTCTGAAGTCTAGTCTCCTGGGCACGGGGCACTGAGTGTCTTTGGGGATGCAGCAGCAAGTGAGAAGTTATCCCCACTTTTGAGGACCTCATGGTCTTGGAGGGGCCTTAGGCACATGTGGGGGAAGCATGTAGAGACCTGTGTAGGTAGGGATGGCTTCCTGGAGGGGCCACTTGAGAGAGTCCAGGGACCAGAGAGAGTCATTGGGGACACACCAGCAAGAGTAAGGTTATGGGGGACAGATAGCTTGAGGGGGCAGAGGAGGTGATGGGGGGAGGTGGGCAGAGGGAAAGCTGGGCGGCTTAGAGCTCAGACAGGTGTATGCTGTGTGTCTATTCACAGGCACAAGGCTGTGGGAAAGAGCACTCTCTTCCCCTGGCAGGCCAGTGAGGCTCAGCTGAGGTAGGGGCCATGCTGCCCAGACCGGCTCTGAGTTACCATTTTTGTGCCCAATTCACACAGATATCCGCCTTAACGTTAAAGTAGGCACATTAAGCTAATTTCAAGGCAACATGCAAGGCTTCAAAGCAACTTGCTTATAGCCAGGCTTTTGGGCCACACCCAGAGTCACTGCGTGGAAGACAGTGGAGGTTAGGATGGCTGCAAAGCCCCACCCTGTAGAGAGGAAGATGAGGGGTAGAGCCGTTGGCAAATTTAGGAGGTAGAGGGCAGTGTCTTAGCTACAGAATTAGCTATAGAGACCAGTCTGGCCTTGATCTTGAGTGCTGGAATTAAAGGCATGCGCCACCATGCCCAGCTTAGTCGGTCCTTTCAGAGCTGTACCCCTGGGGCTGCCAAAGCCAAGGCCCTGCTCCTTGCTCCTGTTGCTTCCCCCCGTGGCAGCCATGTGTTGATTGCAAAGGAGCAGAGATGGATGACTGACTGAGGAAAAAACTGATCCCGTTCATATTTCTGCTTTTTGGGTTGCTTGAGATTTCACCGTCTCTTTGAGGCTGTCATGCACCACTGGAAGCCAAACTCCACCTCACTAAAAACCTCCTTGGGGGGGAGGCCAGAGAAAGATGGGATCTGCCCGGCCTGGGTAAGGATGGGGGGACTCAGACAGCCCCTGCCTTTGCAAAGAACAAAGCAATACATAGCACTAGAAAGGTGGGTGGGGGCCATCTTCACGTTAGCTAGATGCAAATGAACTCAGCTGGGGGAGATGGGGACGTGCAACAACCCACTGGGGGCCAGCAGTGCCCAGGTCAGGAGGGAGTTGTCACCTTGCGTACAGGGTCTCACGTTCATCCCTGGCCTTGGTGCTCCTGACTCTTTCCTTCTAGAAAAGGCAAACTATTTGACAAATCCTGAGATGGCTTTGTCTGAAGGCATGGGACCACACTGAACTTTGAACTCAGGACCTCGGGTTCAGAGCCTCCTTCTCTCTTTTCTTTTTCCGAGGTGTTGGGATAGAACCTAAAGGCCACTTCCACTGAATACTCCTCCAGCCCTAGAACCTATACTGCTCAACTCTTGTTCAGAAGTGCTCTGTAGGCGGCGCTGTAGCACAAGCACCTGGAAGTCAGATGAATCCATTAGCTGTGTGTGTGTGTGTGTGCGCGCGCAGGGTTGACATCAGGTGTCGTCCTCAGTAATTACTTCCTATCTTGTTTTTTTGAGACAAGGCTCTGATTGAACCTGGCACTCACTAAGCTTGGCTGGCTGGCCAGCGAGTTCTAGGTATCCTGTTTCTGCCTGAGACACACACCACCATACCCAGCTTTTTATACAGGTACTGGGGGTCTGAACTCAGGTCCCCATGCTTGTGCAGCAAGCAGGTTATCAACTGAGCCATCTCCCCAGTATTTTCCTTTTGAGTCTGCCACTTACCAAATGAACCATGTTCTTGCCCTTCTCTGTGAGACTCTGTGGAATGGGAACATGAGACTGATCTTGTGAGAAAACACAAAGGCCCCCAGCCCGGCTCAGAGCTCACATGTCCTCACTATCATGAACCTCCAGCATCACGTGAGAGAAGAGACCCGACCCCCATAGCGTGCCTTACCTCGTAGATGTTGAACTGGCTCTGCCCACGGGCCAGCTCCCGGTAGCTGGTGGTGAACTCCCCGATGAAGTCATGGCTGCAAGAGAAGATGTTGCTAAGACGTAAGGCCAGGCTGTGCTTGATCTCTGCCCATCCCAGCCTCTCACACACCCTAGTGCCTGCCCCAGCCCCCATTCTGTCTGGAGCCTCCACATTAAGGACAACCCAGTGCCAGAAGGACACCCTTTATCACTCGTGGAACAAGAAACTCAGTGGTCATGGTTTCTGAAGGATGGAGCCCCCTTCTGCTTGGAGTCTTGGTTGAATGAGCCAGCAATAAAAGGCATTTGGAGACAACTGTGGAAATGTGACTATGACATGAACGTTGGATGGTAGTTAAGCATTACCGATCAAAGTGTCAGGTGGGATAATGGCATTCGGAGTTATGTGGAAAAGTGCTTATTTTTGAGACATTTCCAATGAAATATTTAGGGGTAAATGCCACAATGGAATTTCCTTTAAATTACATTAGTAAAATATAGATAAGGCAAATATAGTGAAATTTAACAATTGTCAAATTCAAGTGATGGGCTTAAAGGTATTCATTAATTCTGCTCTGAATCATTGTATACCTATTAACAGTTTTCCCAATAATATTTTTGAACAATGATTCATTGATTTATTTTTTTATTTTATTTAGTTTTGAGGACTTTTTTTTTTTTTTGGTTTTTTTTAGACAGGGTCTCCCTGTAGCCCCAGCTGTCCTGGAACTCACTATGTAGTCCTGGAACTCTCTATGTAGACCAGGCTGGCCTTGAACTCACAGAGATTTACCTACCTCTGCCAAGTGCTGGGATTAAAGGCATGCACCACCATGCCAGCTAGTTTGGGGGCTTTTTGAGACATTATCTCATGAAGCCCTGTCTGACCTCAAACTTGATAAGTAGTCAAGGATGACCTTGAACTCCTGATCCTTCTGTCCCCACTTCCAGAGAGAGCAGTGGCATGGGCCACTACATCTGGCTCATTCATGTATTTATTTTGAGATAGTTTGTCACTATGTTGCCCAGATTGACCTCAAATTTTAGGGCTCAAATGCTCCTCCTGCCTCAGATCCCTGAATGGTGGGGGTTACAGGTATGTGAAACTTGGGTTAAATCATTGTCCCCTCCCTTTGGTGCTAGGCATGGAATCCTGGGTCTTGAACATGCGAGGCCAGGGCTCTGCCTCAGAGCCATACCCAGTCTCCCACCAATATCTCCTCTATAGACAATTAGAGCACTGTCCAGACAGACATCAACGGGGCTGCGCTGGATAGAGTCAGCTGTCAGCATGATACACCTGAGAGGAGGGACTCTCAACTGGGGAATTCCTCTATTGGACTGGTCTGTGGGCGTGTCTGTGAGGGCCCAGGCCACTACAGGTGTGCCACCCTTGAGCGGGTGGTTGTGGGTTGTATAAGAAAGCAGGCTGAGCACAGGTTAGAGAAACAAGCCAGCAAGCAGCGTTCCTGCATGGTCTCTGCTTCAGTTCCTGCCTTGAGTTCCTGCTCTGACGTTCCTCATGTCGGACTGTGACCTGAGATTGTGACCTTCCTCCCCAAGTTGCTTTTGGTCAGAGTTTTATCACAGCACTAGAGAAGCAAACTAGACCGGGGTCTTTTCTAAATTATATTTATTTTAACTATAGCAAAAACTGTACAGACAGAATTCCTATCAGCCCTGGGTTGGCTCCCTGCTGGAAGGTGGTGGTTAATGAGCTAACTGGGTTGTCTCGCTGGAGAGGGACCCCCATAAGGTGTCCCTGGGGCCTCACCCTGCCATGAGCCCAAGGTGGGTTTTTGTTGCTATTGTTGATTTAAGTTATCATACAAAGTAATGGGTTTCATTATGGTATTTTCATACATACACATATGTATACACATAATAATATATACTTTGGTTTGGGAGAGTTTACTTAATATTATTGTGTGTATGTATGCATGATGTATATGTGGACATCTGTGCCACAGAGTGCATGTGGAGGTCAAAGGACAGCTTTATGGAGTCATTTCTCTCCATCTAGGGCTCTAGGGAGTGAACTGAAGTCATCAGGCTCACACTGCAAGCATCTCTGTTTGCTGAGCCATCTTGCCAGCCCTGCGAGTTTATTTTTATTTTAGTACAGGGAGTGAAACCCAGGGTCTCCTGCATGCTAAGGAAAGCGCTCTATCACTGATCTACATCCCCAGCCGGTAGCTGTTCCCAGCTGCCATGGAAGAGAATATTCCAAGCATATGGTATGGGGAGTTGCTAAGGTAAGCAAGTTAAGGTAGAAGCATGCTAGAGCTGACTGGTCTGGACAGAAGGGATAGAAGGCGGGGGGGGGGGGCGGGAAGGAGGGTTAACAGAGGCAGGGTGGGCAATGGAGGAAGGATCATGGCTTGGGAATGACTCAGAGTTGCCCTTTTTTGTAGTCCCAGCTGGCCTGAAGCTTGCTATGTAGACCAGGCTGGCCTCAAACTCACAGAGATCCGCCTGCCTCTGCCTCCTGAGTGCTGGCATTAAAGACGTGCACCACCACACCTGGCTTCAGAGCTGCACTTTTACAACACCTTATATAACATGAAACACTCCAGGTTCTTATCAGACCTGGGAACTACCAACTACGATCACCTCCTGGAAGTGCCCCGGCAGGGAGAGGCCACAGAGCTAGGGTGACATGTCTGGATTTATCTCAGCAGACAAGTGGGAGCCAGTGAGGGTCCTGGACTCATGCTTTGAGAAACCTGCTCATGTCCTGTCTAGGAATTCCCAGCAACACTTGCTCCTCAGAGGCCCTTAGGTTTGCCTCCCACAGACCCCCAAGTGGGGGCCACCCTCCTGCTGGCCAGGCCCAGCCTTCTCAGACGCTGCCTTGTGGTGTCAAGGTCCTTCCTGTGCCTCAGAACTCCCTGCCATAGCTGTTCCCCTAGACTATTCCCTTAGTCTCTGTTCTCGGCAAACAGGTTGCATGCTTACAATTGGCCTCTGCTAGACAGTGGGGCTCTCTGGGCACTGAACTCATTTTCTACATCCTGGTTTTCCTACCGTGCTTAGCTCAAGGCTCCATGCAGAGAAAGTGCATGAATGCTCATGGAACTACTGGTATCCATATCCCACAACAGAAAACTCTCAATTCTGCAAACAAGAAGATTTCAGGCACTGGTTACTGGCAGCTACCTAGGGGACGGAGGCCTCATAAGCATCCTGTCCTGCAGGGCCTCCATGAGCTGAGCATCTGTAACAGCAGACCATCCTCCAGGGAACTCAGCCCCTCGCTCCCATAGTTCCCAGGTGGGCCTGGCCCAGCTCTCCCCATACCAAGGCAGGCCCTTACCTGGCTTGCCAGACTCACCTTTTTCACGTCCTGCCCTTACCTGCCATCACGATCCCAGTCGTACACCTCTACTTTGATGGTCCTGGAATACAGAGAACAAACAGCCCTGGGTGGGATGGGCCTGCATCTGCCGCCCCTAACCCCCCAGGAGGCCTGAAAGATGTGTGCACATGCTCCCTCTAGGTTCCAAGCCTGTGTGGAGCAGGAAATGGCCAGAGAGCGAGACAAGGGATACATCTTGAGACCTTTTAGCAAAGGTCTTAGGGGCAGAGGCCTACAGGGGCATCCTGAGATTTTGAAGATTTGGCTGAAGTGGTCTCAGGCTTTCATACATCCCAACTTCTTAGCCGCCCTCCCCCCAATGGAGTAGAAGCGGCAGCAGGAAGTCATATCGGGCATTTACCCAGGGCAGAACTGTGAGGGGGGCCAGGTCTCATGACTAAGCAGGGTAGCTTCTATTGGGGAGGGTCACAAGACTGCTTGGCAAAGGACCCTGGGTTGGAGGATGTGAGTGGTGAGGAACCACCCCAGCCCTACATGCCAGGGAAGGGCCCTTGGACTGTGGCTTGGGATGGCCTGCTGAGTTTTACATCGCAGAGACTAGCTCCTGAGTGAGGGTGTGATTATCTTCCCATTCTAGCCCAGGCTGCTTTAATTAGTTTGTTTTGACTCCTAAGCATGGGGCTGGGCTTTGAGAACCCATCTTATTTTTAGCCGTGTTTCCATGGCAACAGGCTAGCAGACCAGAAGCAGGAGGAAGGAGGTGGAGGGTTGCTGGTTAACCCTTGGCGTTGGCTACTCTGTCCTTAGGGATGCCCATGGACAGGGGAGCTGCCAGGCAACACCTGTAGGGTCTAGAGAGGTGGGAGAGGCCCGGGAAGCCAGGGGGTCTCTGGCCTTGAGGTCCATGTGAGGCACACAAAGCAACTTACGCTAGCTTCTCTTCTACTAACACCCATTTATCCCACCCTTGTGTGGCCCATCTCTGGTCTGCCAGGAGTCAGCCTGGGGGTTCTGTGGCTCCCAGAAGGAGGCGCTGTCTTCCTTCAAATGAGTCTCCTCAGGATATGGATGAGGGTGGGAGGGTAGGGTGCGGATTCACAGAATGGGGCAGACAACAGTTCCAGAACGGAACACCCAGATGCCTGGAAGGATGCACAGACTGCCTCTCTGTAAAGCAGTCATAGGAAACATACTTAGAAACCCATCATTTAAAGGAATCCTTTGTGTTCCTATTTTTTAAAAAGCACTATGTCTCCTTGAGTCAAATTATTCTAGATTAAAAAAAAATGAGGCTGGAGAAATGGCTCAGTGGTTAAGAACACTGACTGCTCTTGCAGAGGACCCGGGTTCGATTCCCAGCACCCACATGGCAGCTATGAACCGTCCTTAACTCAGAGCACTGACTGCTCTTGGAGAGGACCCGGGTTCAATTCCCAGCACGTACATGGTGACTATGAACCATCCTTGACTCCAGTTCCAGGGCAATCTGGAGCCCTCTTCTGACCTCTGCGGCATTGCACCACACAGGTACACTCACATACATGCAGGCAATACACTCATACACATAAAATAAAAATAATAAAATATTTAAAAAACAAAAACAACAAACACAGGTACCCCTAAACTGGCGGCTGTGACTGGAAAGGGGCCGGACACTGACCTAAGTTGTGGGATCTGAAGGTGTCATTTAACTTCCCTGTGCCACAAGTCCTCACTATAAAGTGGGGTATTAATGGTCTGGCTATTCAGCTCACTGTTTGGGACCATTGGGGTGGGCTCTCAAAATGCCTCTTTCCACATTATCATCTGGTCACACATGGGTGCTTTTTTCATATGAAATTTGCTTAAATCAGGGGGACACTTGAGTCTGGATATCTGGGCTTTGCAATTTCCTGTCCCTGGAATGACTAGGCTGGAAGTGACCTCTGTGGTATCTAAGCCTGGTCATTAGACAAAGTCCACACAGCACATAGGCCCCATCCTTAAAGCTCCATTAAATTAAAAAAAATTATCTTAATTTTATGTGAGTGTTTTGCCTGCATGTATGTAGGGACACCAAGTGTGTGCAATACCTGCAGAAGAGGGTGCTGACTCTCCTGGAACTGGAGTGACAGAGGGTTGTTAGCTGTCATATAGGTGCTAGGAACCGAGCCCAGGTCCTCTGCAAGACGAACCAATGCTCTTAACTGCTGAGCCATCTCTCTAGTCTTGAAGCTTGGGTTTTTGAAGGACTCCCTGGTGACTGAGCCCACTTATTTTGGGGTGATAGCCTCCAGTCTTCATTTTCACATAGCCCTAAGGGCCCCTCTGTGACTGCCCAGAGCCACCCAGCTGTGAGGTCCAGCACATGATTCTGCTAAGCCTAGGGCTCCAAGTCCCTGCCCAACTGCTTACTATCTCCCAGTCCTTTTCTGGAGTCTTCCAGCTCTGCAGAAGCCCTTCAGAGACCCCAGCAAGGAAGACCAATCCCCTGACCGCCAGCCTCTTGGAGGACTGGATGAGTGACAGTCACATGCTCAAAAGCTATAGAGGAGCCCAGTTATGGTGGCAGCCCTAGGTATGCACAACATTACTTGGGAGATCGTCTTTGAATCTGGCAGAGATCTCCTAACGCCTTTGAGAAATGGGCTACACTGGTGAGAAAACCCTTGTCCCACAAAAGGAGACATTAAGTATGTGTGGCAAGATGGCTTTTCAGATAAAGGGCCTTGTGGTTGAACCTGATGACCTGAGTTTGCTCTCTAGGACATACACAGTGGAAGGAAAGAACTGACTCCTGAAAGCTGTCCTCTGACCTCCACACGTGTGCCAGGTCAAGGCGTACCCCCTTCCCAATAAATAAATAAATGTAATAAAAAATCAAATCCTAGGGGCTGGAGAGATGGCTCAGCAGTTAAGAGCACTGGCTGCTCTTGCAGAGGACCTGGGTTCGATTCCCAGCAGCACCCACATGGCAGCTATGAACCGTCTTTAACTCCAGTTCCAGGGGAATCTGAAGGCCTCTTCTGACCTCCACGGCATTGCAGGACACAGGTGCACTCACATACATGCAGGCAATACACTCATACACATAAAATAATAAAATAAGCCAGGAGTGGTAGTGCACGCCTTTAATCCCAGCACTTGGGAGGCAGAGGCAGGCGGATTCAAGGCCAGTCTGGTCTACATAGTGAGTTCTAGGACAGCTGGGGTTACAGGGAGACCCTGTCTCAAAAAGACCAAAAAAATAAAATAAAATAATTTAAAAAATTTTTTAAAAAATCAAAAAATCAAATCCTGTAACCAAGCCCTGATTTACTCCATCTGGATGGGGCATCTATTGTGAAGAGTTCTGAAAAATTTCAAGTGGCTCCAGCATGCAGCAAAATTCCCAGCCTGGTTGGGAGCCTGAGACATGGGGTCCAATGATGCTTCACCCCCGAGAATCAGATGCAGCAGGTCCATGGTGGACCCTCCCCTGGGGGTGGGAATTGGCAGGGGAGACTGCAAGGTGTGAGACCCCATGTGCCAGGTTGGCCTCAACCCAGGCTCTAGGTCTGCTACAGCCTGGGGTCTGTTTAGCTCAGAGACTGCAGGGAAGGGAGGAAAAAGGTTTTGAGAGGAATGGCACCCAGACACAAGGGAAAGCCTGATACCACTATCTTCAGACCTGCTACAGTCTCACAGCAGGTGAGATTCGTAACCTACCCTTTAGCTCAGGCTAATGTCAGACTGACTGTGACTTAGGAATAGAACCCAAAAGAATAAACTGGATAAGGCACAAAAAGGCTTGGAACTTGGGAGTCCTAGAGGACACAGTGAGACGGGCAGGGAAGGGCACAGCTCTACGGCCAGCAGTCAGGCTAGCACTCTGTTGGGTATTGTCTGTGTGGCCCTGAGCAGTTGGCGAAACCCTGGGAGACTATTTTCTCTTCTTTTTTATTTATTTATTATTTATTATTTTATGTGTATGAGTATATTGCCTGCATGTATGTGAGTGCACCCGTGTTGTTCAAGGCCACGGACATGTGTCTCTGTTCCTCGCATAGAGGTCTTTTGAGACATGGTTTTCCTGTACCTCCAGCTGGCCTGGAACTTACTATGTAGACCAGGCTGGCCTTGGCCTTGAACTCACATGGATTCCTCTGTGTCCGGAGTGCTGGGATTAAAGGCATGTGCCACCACACCTGCTGCAAGCTTTCCTCTCAATGGGTCTCTTGGGAAAGGAGAAGGAACACTTACTTCCCTGGTGCTCACAAGGACCTATGGCTCACAGGCCCCAAGGGTTTTGCTCTACACTGACAGACAGTTGGATACTTTGAGAGGCTGTGGTGAGCAAAAGGCCACTCATGCCTCCACTGTGGCAGCAGGCAGACAGGCATTACAGGCTCTCAGCTGCCCAGCTGGCTCTGTGCAATTTCTGGATGCACCGCAGCGGTACGCTCAGCTTCTGCATGCTGAAAAGGACATGAAGCATTTGGTAGTGAGTCTGACCCTCCCTCCACTGCCACTCAGCATCCAGGGAGCAGCTCAGAAATGCACCATTGCAGTGATGTTAGCTCCCCAGCACCAGGTGAGGGCTCTGCATCTTAGTGTGCGCATTTACAATCTACACATTCACTGTCAACGTGTGAGTGAGCAACAATGCCCTGACCCACATGGACCTGGTTTAACATGGGTGATTCCTCAACTCACAAAACGTCAAAAGTGGAGGACAGAGTTTTTGAAGGCCAAGGACCTTGTCAGGGCTGATTCCTCCAGCTCCTCTGGCCTAGGCTCTGCTCAGTTGGGTCACCCAGCTTTGGCCTTGTCTGGACTGGAGATAGAAGGCAAAGTATTAAGAGCCAAGGGACCCCAGCCCAGAGGCCAGCATTCACAGAAGGAAAGGTACTGTCTTGATCTGGCATCCAGTCTGGCCCTCCATTTCCTCATCTGTAAAATGGGTACATGGTAAGCAAGGTTCCTAAGTTTAATCATGACACAAGAAAATGTGTTTAAGCCAACAGGGACCAACATGCCCCATGTCCTAAGTATCTAAAATTTTAACAGTATGAACTGGTTTTTCACTCCCATCATTCCAAGGACACTGCCCTCTCTCAGAACGTCTGTCCTTGGCTTCCTTCAGCGCAGGAATCCAGCCTTCCAGTATATTCTCTTTGGCTAACTTCCTGGCAGTGGCTGACCCTCAGTGCCCTTCTGGCTCCTGTTCTTCCCCCTCCTCTTCCTTGCTCTGGGGCTGTGGCTTCACCGACAAAGCCTCTGCTAGCTCTCTGTCCCTTCCCCTTTAAGCTGTGCCTGCCCCCTCAGCCACCTACTCTTCCTGGGACTAGAACTCCTAGACCACAGGTGCCTTCTTTCCCCCTGTACAGCATCAGCCCATCTCTAAACAACAAATACAGTTTTCCTAACTTAGGTAGACTAGTTCTTTACAGACCTGTGAGTTGCCAATCTGTGACAGAAAAAACATAATACTACTCAACTACGTCACTAAGAATCTAGTTCCAAGGCAGGTGTGGTGGTGCACACCTTTAATCCCAGCACCAGGGAGGCAGAGGCAGGTAAATTTCTGTGAGATCGAGGCCAGCCTGATATACACAGCAAGTTCCAGGCCAGCTGAGGCTATAGGGAGACTCTGTCTCAAAAAGAAAAAAACAAAACAACAACAACAAAAAGCATCTCGTCCCAAGGCTGGAGAGATGGCTCAGTGGTTAAGAGCCCTGGCTGTTCTCACAGAGGACCCTGGTTTGGTTCCCAGCACCCACATGGTGCCTAACAACCATCCACAACTCCAGTTCCAGGGAATCTAATGTCTTCTTCTGGCCTCTATGGGCACTGTATGCACACCAGGTACTTACGCACACACAGGCAAAACACTCATACAAGTGAAATTAAATTTCTTTTTAAAAGTCTGACTCCATCCTGTGTCCCTCATCAGTGGTGTTAAGTGCTGCACAGATGGACCTTCCTTTTTGTCGTCCCCTATCTCTTCTCTGAACCATCTGTGGTTAATGCTAAAAGGACCTTGAAAAGCTTTTAAGGATTGAAACCACCTCTCAGAAGAGTCCCCATGTCAGGTCTCAAAGCAGACCTGCCTTCACCTCTAGGCAAAGCTCCTCTGGGCCTCCTCCAGCTGTCACACCGTGCCTTGACCAATTAGGAACAGATTCTAGAGTCAGCCTGGCTGGACTCCTGGCTTCAGCCCTACAAAAGCTAGTAGCAAGATGCTGGGTGGATCCCCAGCCCTCCTTAAGCCTCAGCCTCTCACCTGTGAACTGATGGTTACTGGGGGAATGAACTTAGCTTGTTCCTAAGGGCGCTCCCAGCATGCCCGGCGTGAGGTGCGGTACCATCAGAACCTTGGCTGTTATTATAGCCTCTGGCTCCTCACTGGCCTGAAGCAACCTGAGATCCAGGTCTGGGTCTGATTGCTCAACAGGCCCCCAAATCACCCAGCACAGTCACTGGCTACTGGCTGGCCAGAAAGGTACAGACCCTGTGTTCTGTGAGTCTGCCAGGGGGCCAGCAGGAGAGGGACTGTGGCCTCATTCTCCTGCCGCTGGGGGTAATAACCAGGCCTGAGGAAGAGCCAGTCAGAGACACTCTCTCCTGGATTAACACTGCTGTCAGTCACGTCACAGTCAATTTGTGTACAGCCATGGAGATGGGGACTAGCCGGCCACCCTGGAGGGAAATGAGGAGGGGTTCAGGCCTAGTTACACTTCTTAATAAACACTCCTCTCCTCCACTGCCCCAGTGGTTAGTTAGGCTAGGACCCTAGGCCAAGCCTCAGTACCCCGTCCCTTTCCTGGTGACATGGCTGTATTCTGAGGGTCCAGGAGCCCCTCCCTAGGAAGGCAGGGTTTGTGAGACCATACCTTCCTGCCTTTCCATCCCTGTGTTTGGACTTCTCCTGACTCTCCACCCTTGCTGAGTCGCTTGTCCAGGCCCTCTCTCCTTACTTTCCAGCCATCCCAACCCTCCTTTAGAACCTACTGCCATCCTGTCCCCTCTCCCACTCCAGGAGTGTTGGGACCCAGGTAGACACGTACCAGGGGTCCTGCCAGACATGTATCAAGGGTTTGTTTGGCTAAAATGTCCATTTTTGTCCCATCTCATTTTGTACTATTGCATAGCTGTCTAAAGTCCATGTGTGTATACCAGAAGGTCCTGGAAGATGGAGACACAGGCTGGATACACCGCAAGTGCTGGATGACCTCCTGGGGAAAAGACTGCTGTGCTTTCATGCCAGGCAAGAGGCCCAAAGAGAGCCACCTTGCATCTTAGATGAGCATTCTGTGAGTGTCTCTGGAGGGAAATGGGTGCTTGGGGGCCATCCATCCACTCACCACCCTCATACATATATACACTTGGGGGACCCTGTGCAGCACCTCAATGTGCCCGAAAGTGTCTGTTCTGATGCCTCAGGGATTTTGTGGTAGCAGCCAGAAGATATCCCACTTCTCACACCTATTAGGCAGTCTCTCCTGACAGCACACCTCCCACCCCTCAACCAGGCTAGCCCACTCACCCAACCTTGGCCATCACCATAAAGCCAGTTGTTCTGTTGACTTCAAACAGAACAACTTTATCTTGTGGCTCCCATCTGACCCAGCCCCCTGCTCTCTCCAGCACCTTCTGTAGTGGGTAATAATATGTTTCTCTGTGTGATTATTGGGTTAATGTCTGCCTCCCCCACAGGCACTTAAGCTCTGAGAAGCTGGGTGTAGGGTGAGGCTGGCACATTTACTCCCTGCTGACTTCCCAGCTAGATCTAGCACGGTGCCTAGCCCAGGGCAGGGGTTCAACAAAATGAGCAGACAAAATGTTGACTGCTGTGTTACCACTTCAGAACCTCCTACTGGCCTCATTCAAGCCTCAAAGCAGCCCTAGGAGGTAGGCAGGTGTTTTCACAGTCATTTTGCAGAAAAGGACACTGAGGACAGGTCAGAGCTTACCCAGGCTGACAGCTCCCCAGTGAGTCAAGGGTAGAACTCAGACATATGGGCTACCTAGACTTGGAGATGAGGAGGGAAAGGCTAGCTCACAGGTGATATGTCTAGGTCATCAGATGGAAACAGCCCACGATTCTTTTATGTTTGTTTGAAACAGGGTGAGATCTCACTATGTAGCCCTGGCTGGCCTGGAACTCACAGAGATCTGCCTGTCTCTGTCTCCAGAGTGTTGACTAGAGGTGTACCCCACCACCCAGCACCCTACAATTCATGCCTCCCACTCCAAACTCCTCATTTATGACCACCAGGCTGTCAGGGGGTAGTTCCTGGGATCCTGACTCCAGAATCCACTGGCCAGAAGGTGGGGCTGTTTGGGGACTGGCTTATACCTGCCTCTACTCCCCCTAACCCTCACCCTAGTTGCCCCCTGCCCCTCTTAGGGAAGCAATGAGCTCATGGCCAGGGTGTCAGAGATACCCTTTGGGGATACCCACAAAGGTTTCCCTGAAATCCCAGGTACTCCTAATCCTGCCCCTTGGGATTTTTTTTTTTTTAACTGATGAGGAGCAGACAGGAAATAGCAAGGAGTAGGGGTTGTGAGACCATGGGGAGACATGAGGGGGCAGAAGGCTCCCCAAGTCCCACTCTTTTCATGGAAGACTTGGAGTGGATCCGGGAGGCCGTGTGTGCATGGACAAGAAAGGACAGGGGACAGGAAAGAAAAAGACGCCCCTCGTCTTACCTGTCATAGTCCCCGTTGCAGAGGGCTCTCACAGGGATGGAGAAGGTTTGCCACACTGGGTTGAGGGTGTTCTTCATGACCTCGGTCTTGTGGCAGATGGTAAACCTGGCCAAGAAGTGAGGGAAAGATGTCAAGCCTGAAGCTCGGGTGGCCGGTGGCACAGACAGTCCACCTCCCTGACTTCTGAGGGGAGGAGCTGCCCTTGACTGCCTTGGCCAGGTTGAAGAGAGGTGGTACAATGGTAGGTCTGTGACTCTACAGAGAAGTTCCTGCACTGGGTACACTGGGCAGGGACCTAACTGGAGCAACACATCTTGGGGAAGTGTCCGGGGACCTGGGTTCTAACCAGTGTTCAGTGTGACTGTGACAAGCCCTTTCTCTCTGACAGCTGCCTTCCTGGGAACTGGGGGGCTGGCCTCTATCCAAGATCTACCTCTAAGATCCTAGAGGTGCTGGTCCCACAAACCTCAGGGCTAGATGGGTGGGTGTGTACAGTGTGTATGCCTGTTAGCGCCCTCTTTGGAACACTTCCCCCCAGCAGATTCATCTTCACACTTACCAGGCATGGTGGCACACTCTTTAATCCCAGCATTTGGGAGGCAGAGGCAGGTGGATCTCTATGAGATCGAGGCCAGCTTGGTCCACAGAGTGTTTCAGGCCAGCTGTGGCTACAAGGAGACCCTGTCTCAAAAACAAAACAATACACAACAGAAACCAAACACCATCTTCACACTCTGTCCTTACCACCTCAGGCCAGACATCAGTCACCTCCAGAAGCCCCCACAGCTCCCATGTCGAAAATTTACAGCCCCTGACTCTGACAGTTCTTGGTTTCCTTCCAGGCTTTTCCTTCCCAGTACACTTCTCACCATCTGACATTTTGGACATGGTCTATTTTTTCTCCTTACTTTTTCTGTTATGATCTGTCACTAAAATGTAAGGTCCATAAGAACAACGAGTTTTTCCATTTTTCATGACTGGTTTAGATTAGAACAATAACTGGCATTAGTAGCTATTCAATTATCTTTATTTATTTCTTTTGGTTTTTTGAGACATGTAGCCCAGGATGGACTTGAAGTTCTAATCCTCCTGTCTCCACCTTCCTTGTGTTGGGCTTATAAATGTGTGCTACCACATCTAACGATCAGTCATTTTAAAATAGTTATTTTATATATGCATATATGCATGTGCCTGTGTAAGTTTATGTGTACCACATGTGTGCAGGTCCACAGAGACCAGAGGAGGGTATCAGATTCCCTTGGAACTATAGTTACAGGAGGGTGTGAGCCACCTGATATGGACACTGGGAATTGAACCCAGGTCCTCTGCAAGAGCAGTCAGTGCTCTTAACCACTGAGCCATCTCTCTAGCCCTCAATCTTTTTTAAAAAAGGAGCCAATGAGGGCTGGAAAGATGGCTCAGCAGGAAGGGTATTTGCTGCTAAGCCTGATGATCTGAGTTCCATCCCCAGGACCCACATGGTAGAAAGAGAGAACTGACTCCAACAAGTTATCTTCTGACTGCTACATGAGTAATGTGGCAAGTGAACACAATAAACAAACAAACAAACAAACAAACTCTAACTCTAACCGGGACCAGAGATATAGCTCAATGAGTGTGTGTGTGTGTGTGTGTGTGTGTGTGTGTGTGTCTTGAAATCGGTTCTATCCCCAGCCCAAGACATTGCCTCAAAAATTAAATCAATAAAATTCCAAACAAAGGAACCAGGGCTGGAGAGATGACCCGGTGGTTAAGAGCACTGGTTGCTCTTGCAGAGGTCCTGGGTTCAGTTCCCAGCATCCATGTGGTATCTAACAACTGTCTGTAACTCCAGTTCCAGGGGATCTGATGCCCTCTTCTGGCCTCTGTGGGTATTGCACACATGGGTGCCCTTACATACATGCAGACAAAATACTCCTATACATAAAATAAAAATAAACAAAAATTTTAAAATAAAAATGATTAAAAAGGAACCAGTGAGGCACTGTACTTCTCAGGGAGAGTGTCCATAGCTTTTATTGGCATCTCAGTTCAGTCCTCACCTGGGCCATCTGTAACACCCCTCTAGCCCCTCCTCTCAGAATCTAGGAACCTGCTTTGCTAACCTCAAAGAATGGACTGTCCCTGCTGGGCCTTCGGTCCAGTCCTCACACCATGCCTGGCCACCTCTCACAGGAGCAGCCCTGCCTCACGGATGAGCAGAGCTTTCCCAGCAACACCCTCCCCAGCAACATCCCAGCTTGGAAAGGTCACCTAGAAGAGCTGGGGCCCCACCTGAGCCCACGCAGACTGCACCGTTTCTTCTTTGGCAATTTTCAAGTCAAAATGTCATTCTTGTTACTGTGACTGAACGTTTCTCCTTCTCGCCCACCTGCTGGAGTGTGAGATCCACGTGGGAGACCTTGCTGCTCACCCCCGGAGCAGGAGGAGGTATTGGAGATGGAGATGGGGATGGGGCGGGGGGCTGCTGTCTATGGCTGGAGCAAGTAGGCAAGCATGCGGCAGAGGGGGAATGAGGGGATAGTCAAGGGGCGCTGGGGGGAACCAGACTGTGAAGAGCTGTCCTACGCTCCACAGATCTCTTATCCTGGAACCATCCCACTGAATGGAGGACCTTGCCCCATCTCCTAGCCCTTCAATGCTGACCTCTTTCCCTCACAACTCAACTCCTCAAGTAGGTGTCTTTTTAAAATTTTTATGTATATGAGTATATTGCCTGCCTGTACATAAGTGCACCTGTGCCATGCAGTGCTCCCGGAGGTCAGAAGAGGGGGTCGGATCCCCTGGAACTAGAGTTACGGATGGTTGTTAGCCATCATGTACATGCTGGGAATCGAACCTGGGTCCTCTGCAAGAGCATCCAGTGTTCTTAGCTGCTGAGCCATCTCGCCAGCCCCTCAAGGAGGTCTTTTAAGCTACCAGGCCAATTTCCTTCCTCCATGTTTCTTCCTGGGTCCTGTGTGATCCACTTCTGCCTGAGACTCTTGTCTGAAACATATCTCTTTAAACTTCTTTAAACTCTGTCCAGTCCCCATCATCAAATGCACTGGCCTCTCAACTACCCTGTTGCACCTGCCTGGGGGCCAGACTCCCATGTGTAAGTGGGCCCTGTGGCCTGTTCATTTTGATACATAGTTGGGTCACCAGTATGAAGAGTGTTACCTAACAGTCAGACAGATGTGAATCCCAGTCCCAGGACCAGTTGTGCATCCCTAGGCAAATCTTTCCCTCTCTGAGCTTCCTTCTTATGGTAAAATGGGTAAAAAACAAGTCTACAGAGCTGATGAGACGGCTCAGTGGATAAAAGCACTTGCCTGACCACCTAAGTTCAATCCCCAGAAGAGAACTGACTCCAGCAAGTTGTCCTCTGACTTCCACACATACACTGTGAGCGTACACACACACACACAAAATAAAAAAAATGTTTTTATTTAAAAAGTTAAGAGCTGAGCATGGTGGTAACACACTTTTGATCCCAGCACTTGGGGGACAAAGGCAGGCAGATCTTTGTGAGATGGAGGCCAGCCTGGTCTACATAATGAGTTCCAGGCCAGCTGGGGCTACAGGGAGACCCTGTCTCAACAAACAAACAAACAAAATATTAAGGAGCTGGAGAGATGGCTTAGTGTTAAGAGCACTGGCTGCTCTTGCAAAGGATCTGAGTTCAACCACATAATGGCTAACAACTGTCTGTAGTTCCAGTTCCAGGGGATCCGACACCCTCTTCTGGTCTTTTCGGGCATTGCATGCATGTGGCACACTTTCGCACATGTGAGCAAAATGAAAATTAAAAGCCCTCCCACAGTTTCCCAGTTTCAATACACCACTGGTGGCTCTCAATACCCATATATGGCAGCGGTGACTGTGATTGTTTATGTGGGCTGTCAACTTGACAGGTGCTAGACTCACTTAGGAGACAAGCCTCCAGGTATACCTATGAGGGATTATCTGGATGAGGTTAGCCCCTGGCCATGCCTGTGAGGGATTATCTAGCTGAGGTTAACTGAGGTGGAAAGACCCACCCTGCAGGGTGGTAGCGCCATTCCTTGGGTTTGGGCTCTGGATGGCATAAAAAGGAGGAAGCGAGCTGAGCACCAGCATTTGTCTCTTTGCTTCCTGACTGTGGAAGCCATGTGACCCAGCTGCCTCACACTCCGCTCCGGCCACCCTGACCTTCCCGTCAGGATGGACTACACCCTCCAGCTGTGAACCAAAAGAAACTCTTCCTTAAGTTGCTTTTTTCTTTTACAAGACAGGTTCTCATTGTAGCCCCAGCTGGCCTGGAACTCCCTATGTAGACCAGGCTGGCCTCCATCTTACAGAGATCCACTTACCTCTGCCTCTTGAGTGCTCGGGTTAAAGACATGCGCCACCAAGCTTGGCCCTTTGGTTGCTTTTGTGTCAGGATATTTCATCATAGTGGTTAAGAGCACTGGCTGCCGTTGCAGAGGACCAAGTTTCAATTCCAAGCTCCCACATGACAGCTAACAATGACCTAACTCCAGTTCCAGGGGATCCAACACCCTCTTTTTTAAAAAAACATTTTATTATTATTTTTTTATTTTATGTGTATGAGTGTATTGCCTGCATGTATGTGAGTGCACCCGTGTCATGCAAAGCCTCAGAGGTCAGAAGAGGGCTTCGGATTCCACAGGAAGAGTTAAGGACAGTTTCCAGCCACATGTGGGTGCTGGGAATAGAAAGCAGGTCCTCTGAAAGAGCAGTCAGTGTTCTTAACCACTGAGCCATCTCTCCAGCCTCCCAACACCCTCTCTGACTTCCTCAGGCACTGCACGACACAGATGCACTTACATGCATGCACACTTACATACACACTTTAAAAAAAAAGGAAAAGCAAGCGATATAATGGCCATTCTAGCATTCGAAAAGGTTCTGTGGATTACTTTTGCCTAAAATCACTCTGCTGTACCTAGCAATGCCAACTTGGCATCTTTGCTATCACCTCTGCAAGGGTAGAAGAGTCACTAATAGGGAGGCAGACGAGGAAAACAGCTCCAGGACAGGAGGTGGAAGCCTCCAGCCTTTAAAGCCTTTCGTGCTCCTGGTCCCTTACGGGCTGGCCTTCCCTGTCCTCCTAACTGGGGGTGTGCCTAAGCCCTCCCCTATTCTCTGCACATCCCAGTTCAGCCTCTGCACTGAGAGGAGAGGTGCCTCACTGTGGTCCCTGGCCAGTTTCTCCAGTATCCTGTGAGACCCATGGACTCACTGCCCCCACCCACATACACACATAGGCTCCGTCACACCTGAGTGAAACTCACCTCCAAACAACCCCTGTGGCCTCAGCCATCAAACCAGCTCCCCAGCACTCTGGGTGCCCACAACCCCACTACTAGAGAAAGGGCCAGGGTTCTGGACCCCCAGGCCTCTATTCTGTCCTTCTGCCCCGCCCCTGCCCTGTTCCCACCCACAGCTCAGCTCGGGCACCTCCTACCCACTCCCGTGTCAGTCACGAGCCTCTGCCTCAAATCCATCCCACACAGCTCCAACTGTATGCAGCCTTCCTCCTCCTGCCTCTTTTCAGCTGCCATCCCCCCTCCTGCTGGTCACCAGGGCCCCGAGGGCCAGGGCTGGACTATCAGGAGGAGACAGTGGACACCCAGAACCACTCAGGCTTTTTCTTCTCTCACCCACTAAAGTAAAAGGGGGAGTCAGAGTCAACCAGAATTATTTAAAGAATTCCCGCTGGGAGTCCTTCCCCATAAAGAAGCCTTTTGTCATGCAAATGACAACACCTAATTTCCTGTGCCTTAGCTCAGGTTTAAAAATCATTCCTGCTGCTACCCTGC